CCAAGCTAAAGAAGCATTGATTGATTCTGGATTTATTTAAAAACTTAGGATTTCGAAAAGCTGGGGAATTCCGTTTAACAGAAGGTCGCAAAAAAGTTGTTCCGCAAATAATAATTCACTTCGAACTAGACACCAGGAGTACTTGCTATTTAAGCTAGTTATTTAAGCTAAATCAAAGAATTCTTTAAGCTAATGAAACATTGATAACTTAGCTTACAAGTACAACAATAGAAAGAAGACTAAAAAGGAACCTAATAAAAGAAGATTAAATTATTTCACCTTTTAAGCTTTTTCAATAATTTCTAGGCCATTGTCAAACCGATTCTCGATTGCTAATGCTAAATCATTTCTTGATTGTGTAAAGGACTTTTATGGCAGAATCTCCAAAAAAAAATTAAAGACACTGTGAGAAATTTTGTAACTTGTATAATCAAGTCAGTTGCTTCAGTGAAAAGGAATATGAATATAACAAAGATATCGTAATAAATGTATTAAAAAATATATACCAAAAATTAAAAAATCCAAGGGACTTTAAGCGTTTAAATAAACGATGAAGTTCGTTTTAAACTATTTCACGTTAGAGATTATGGCTGAATTGAATTTTTTGGAACAAACGTATTTGCTATTCAACAACGGCGTTGTTCACTCGAGAAGTACTAAACCTGAAAACAGTTTGAAAGCATTTTATACTTTCCATAGATAAACAGTAAGAAGTTTTGAACTGAGAATTCCACAGTCGGCTTTCTGGTTACATGAGAAGTTGGCGAGGCCTTTTCTGTACCAAAGTGAAGCTAGCGTCGGATTGGCAGCGTCGGATTGATATTCATTGAGATTCAGAATCATTTCCGGGGGAGGTCAAACAGGTCATTTTACTAAAATCCTCTTTGTCCCCTAACGGTGGCAAAATCACAAACGAATTCCGATTAAACTTTCTTCTCTGATTTCTATTCATGATATTCTACGCTCTTAGTAGAATACACTGCCTATTCTCGACGAATTTACGGATTTTGATCTCAGCCTCGGATTGGACTCGTATTACATCTCAGCCTCGGATTGGACTTCTATTACATCTCAGCCTCGGATTGGGATCGTATTACATCTCAGCCTCGG